TTGAAGAGAAACTGGACAGGTTTCTTTTCTCTCATAGTTGGTTTACTCATTTTCCCAATTCTCAGATATCTCACCTCTCTGTGAGTTCCTCAGATCATTCCATGATGCTCTTGCATTGTAATCCTGGTTGTGAGTCCTTTAAAAAAAGGTTTGTGTTTGATATTATGTGGGCTAGTATGGAAGGTTTTCAAGACATTGTGTCAATAGCTTAGAATCTAGATGTGTCTGGTCATGCCCTCATTGGGATTCAACAAAGATTGAAAAATGTTAAAAAGGCTATAATAACTTGGAAAAAGGGTGATGGGTTGAATGCTAGGTCTATTATTAATGAGTGTAAGGTTAAATTGGATCATCTTAGAAGACAAGGAGGGACAGGGACTGGGATGAATGGAGTAGATGTAAGTTAGAGTCCCAACTAGCTTATGAGAGTGAGGAGCTTTTCTGGAAACAGAAAGCTAGGGTTCTCTGGCTTAAGGAAGGTGACAGAAACTCCAAATTCTTTCATGCTAGTGTTAGACAGAGAAGAAAGCTCAATAACCTCAATAATATTGTTAAAGCTGATGGGACTAGGTGTTACAATCAATGGGAAGTTCTGGCAGAAATTGTTGATTATTTTGATAAACTTTTTCCAATCTTCCCAACCTCTTGATAGTAGTTGCAGCTTAGATGGTATTTCCAGAAACATTACTTGTGAGATGAATGCCAATTTGATTAGAAATCTAGATGATGAGGAGATTGAGAGTGCTATTTTTTATATGGGCCAGGATAAAGCTCCTGGTGATGATGGCTTTACAGCATGCTTCTTTCAAAAAACCTAACCCACCATTAAATTTCATGTCTGCCTTACTGTCCATAACTTTTTTGATACTGGTAGAATGCCTAGAGGTCTAAATCATGTTGTAATAACTCTTATTCCTAAAAAGAAAAATCCTACTAGAGTTATTGATTTCAGACCCATCAGTTTATGCTCTGTTATTTATAAGTTGATTGCAAATATTGTTGCTAATAGATTGAAAAAGGTTTTGCCTCACTGCATTTCTCATTCACAATCTGCATTTGTTCCTGGTAGACAAATCCATGATAACGTGATTATAGCCAATGAATGTGTGCACTTTTTGAATAGCAAAAGGAAAGGTAAACAGAACTTTATGGTTCTCAAACTTGATATGGCAAAAGCTTATGATAGAGTGGAATGGACTTTTCTTGCTAAGGTGTGTAGAAAAATGGGTTTTTGTGAAACTTCCTTGTCTTGGATACTTGCTTGTGTGTGAACTGCTTCCTATTCTTTCAATTTAAATGGATCTGTCCTTGGTTATATTCAACCTACAAGGGGATTAAGACAAGGTGATCCACTGTCACCTTACCTGTTTATCCTTGTTTCTGAAGCTCTCTCCAATCTCATTAATCAAGCTTGCAGATCAGGGCTTTTTATTGGTTTGAAAATAGGTAGGCATGCTTCTCTAGTGAGTCATCTATTTTTTGCAGATGATTCCATATTCTTTTGTAAAGCTGATTTATCCCATGCTCAATTAATCTGTGATATTCTTGCTCAATATGGCTTTGAATCTGGCTAAGCTGTTAATTTTGCCAAATCATCCATCCTGTTTTCTAAAAACACTCCCATTGGAACTCAGGGTCAAATCTGTAGAATATGCTTTCTGGGATTAACAGAGTGACTTCTTCTAGATATTTAGGACTCCCATTAGGAATAGGAAGATCTAAGAAAGATACTTTCAAATTTATGAGTGAATGTGTGAAAAACAAGATTATGAGTTGGAAAAACAAGTTTTTGAGTGAATCAGGGAGAGAAATTCTTATCAAATCAGTTTTGAGTACTTTACCAACCTATGTTATTTCTTGTTTTAGGATCCCAATCAGCATTATTAATCAAATTTGCAGTGATATAGCTAATTTTTGGTGGGGTCAAAATGATAAAGGTGGTAACAAAGTGAACTGGGCAGAGTGGGGTAAGATTGTAGTGCCTAAATCAGAGGGGGGATTAGCTTTAAGAATTTGAGAGCTTTCAATGAGTCTCTATTGGTAAAACAATTGTGGAGAATTCAAACTCAGCATAATCTCTTAGTTAATCTCTTGGAAAAGTTGATTGGGGGCTAGGGGTTCTTTTAAACTTGGAGCTAGGTATGAGGTGGGCACTGGAAAATCCATTAATGTTTGGGATTCTCCTTGGATCCCAAACAACTCATCTTTTAAACCTAAGTGTTGTTTTTGGGGTGACAATAGTAGGATAGTCAAGATCAGTGACCTGATTAGGATAGGGGGAGAGAGTGGTAAGTGAATTGATTTAACAAACTTTTGACCCTGTTGATACAGCCTCCATTCTTAAAACTCCTTTATCTAGTCATAGAAAACATGACAGGTTGATTTGGCACTGGGGAAGAAAAGGAGAATTCTCTTTCAAGGCAGTGTACCTTATTATTTTGGAAGTTAGGGGCAAGCATGGGCCCCATGCTTCTACTAGTGATAGCACTGAATGGTGGAGAGGAATGTGGAAAACTTGCTGAAAGCTGAATTTGAAGCCAAAAATCAAATTCTTTATTTTGAGATATTTGTTTGGATTCATAGGGGTGAATGGGAGGTTAAGGAGGAAGGGGATTGATGTGGATCCTGTGTACAGGTTGTGTGGCGAGGAAAATGAAGATTTAAACCACCTGCTCTTTCAATGTTCAAAGGCCAGAATCTGTTGGAAGTTGTGTGGGGTTCAGTGGGACTTAATGCAAAACAAGGACATGGACTTTCAAAGATGGTGGATGGAAATATGCTCAAAAGGTATGTCTACTATTCTTAAGAAGAGAATCATTTTATTTGCCTACTTAATATGGAATTTGTGGAAGACCAGAAACAAGTGGGTTTTTAAAGGTGATTGGTTCAATGAAAGAGAAATAGTGGATAGATCACATTCAGAATGGCTGGAGTGGGGGACTTATTCACAAGCTACTGGCAGGGGCGGATCCAAGAATCTGGGGGCAAAATATTTTTTAATAGTCATCAATTTAATTTAATAAATATAAAATATAGAAAGATGTATTGTAAAATTATATATAACAATTGTGCAATAATAAACGCTTGAAAGAAGTCGGTTCTTGTTTGTTTGTTTTAGTTTTTTATCATCGCATCAGTGGGATTTCCAGGCCGCTTTCAATCTTATCCTCTCAGTTTTATTTTCGGCCTTTGGTTGTATTTGAATACGAACTTTTGTTCCTTTTGAGTGGTTTTATAATATCTCTATCGTTCCAAAAAAGAACTTGACAGTAACTAATTTAGATTGAAAGCTCTCTCAACTCATGAATTATTTTATTAATAATTGGCTCAATACTAGTAATTTGATATTTTTAATTTCCATTAAGCATATCTTATATGGTCTTCTTTTTCAAAATTACCAATTTTTATAGTTTCACATATTTACCATGCATTCAATTTATTTAAGTTAGAAAAAAAATGTTATACAAAATTGTAAAGTACAATTATAGTTGAATTATTAGTAAAAAGAGTAATAAAATATTATTTTAATATAATTATATAAGTTTATATGGAAAATTATATACTTACCACACACACATATATATACATATGCTAAAAATTACAAATCTTGGGGGGGGGACAATGGCACCCCCTATCACACACATAGGTCCGCCCCTGGCTACTGGTAGGATTCAAATTGCATATGGAGATCCTCTAAGAGTAGGTAAGCCTGGGGTGGCTATCAGTGCTCACTTAACTGCAGATGGTACTATTTCAGTAGATTGTGTTATATCCATGAACTCAGAAGATCAGAGGCACCGGGAAGACCAAATATCAGGATCTGGAGACCTCATTGAGGAGACAAAAGCAGCTCTTTTGGCTACTCAATGGGGGCTGAGGAAGATCAAAGAGATTAAACCAGAAGCTGCAGTGTACTACTTGAACAATGAAATGGCAGTGCAAATTTTGAACAAAACCAAAGATCCGGGTGTTTGCTGCATGACTGTGTTGTCTGATATTTGGGAGATGATGGAAGCTTGTGGAGTTCCTTCTTTTATTTTTTCTAGTGTTTTTTCTTTTTTCTTGTTAGACCATGTTGGTCTTTAAAGGGGAGAACCATATTCTTCCTCGTGTACCTTGGGTAGCTTTGTTGTGGATTATCCTTGGGATGTAGTCATATGATTACTCGATGTACTCGCACTTTTCATTTGAGTTATAAATTTTATCGTTTGCCTTTTGAAAAAAAAAAAAAAAGAATATCAGAAACAACTCTACACAAAATAAATGTATTATGGCTCACAATATGGAAACGGGTAGTGTGATTTCTAGAGTTATTTTTCTACTTTTCTAACTACAGAAAGTTCCACTCAACTATAACATAATATTCAAAAGTAAACAGCAAAAAATTATTATATGCAAATGCACAAAAAATTGTTTGTCACACTACAAAATATAAACTTACAATAGCTTGAAATTGATTAAAAAAAAAAAAAACAAAACTCTTCAGAATTTTCTTTTCTTTTTTTCCTTTATCCCATTCCATAAAATGTTGTCAACTTTATTCAAAAAATAAATAAATAAGTCTACTTTGAATGTCTACTAAATCTGTATAAATATAAAAATGTTTGGCATTTACCTGAAATAACAACTAAATTCTCGCCTAAAAATTTCAAACTTACTAAACTAAGTAAATTTTTTTTTCAAAAATTTTTAGAATCCCGACCTAACATGTTTTGAAAAAATTCAGTCAAATATTTAAAGAAACTATTGACTACTACAAATTTATTTTAGTATGCGTATATCGCAGATTATTTAAAATCTCTTCCAACACGTTTATTTTGGCATACGTATATACGAGATTCTCCAAATTATCTTCCAATAAAATATTTTTATAGGGTGAAAACTTTACTGACAGATCAAAATCAAATGTATCATTCTCGCCATCTCTACCAAAATTGTTTTGTGAAAACTTAAATGACCATGAAAATCAAATCCAACCAATTCTCCAATTAGGGTTGCAGATGAGGAGATGGGCACGAAGAAGATCCATCGGGTCTTCCCCAAACTCGATGGACGGCGACAGCAACATCAACCGGGATGAGCTCAGCGAGTCGTTAGAAAATCTCGGGATCTACGTGTCGGAGGAGAAACTCCGGGCGATGATCGGGAATAGTGACGCCCACGGAGATACCGAGGAGTTCAGCGCTCTATACGCGGCGCTGATGGCAGACGGCAGAGGCAACGAGGGGGACGACCGTGAAGAGGACGTTCGAGAGGCATTTAAGATTTTCGATCGGGACGAGGCGGGTACATCACGGCGGATGAGCTGAGGTCAATGTTGGCGACACTGGGGTTGAAGTAGCTGAAGACGCCGGAGGAGTACTAGAGTATGATCGTTAAGGGTCGACTTAGGTGGCGACGAGAGGGTCAACTTCGATAAATTCCGACAGATGATAAAGTACGGCAGGTTCGTCAGGGTAAATTCAATATTTTTTTATATTTTTTTTTATGTGCAAATTGCAATTGTCAATTGGTTGATGTAATTATTGGATTTTGATTCTTGCCTCCATTTTTTATGTGGCTGAGAAATAATTTATGTGTGTGATCTACAAATTGTTGTCGGAGGGTTTCTGGGGAGGACGGAGGCAAGACTTCCGTGATAAAGTCGTTGGCCCCACATAGAGTGGTGTTGGAACACGCGGTGGCTGGATTCCTAACCCAATACGGCTGGAACTCCATCCCAGAGGCTGTGATGTGCGGGCTGCCGATGATCGGGTGGCCGATCTATGCGGAGTAGAGAATGAACAGGGTGATTCTGGTGGGGGAGATGGAGGTGGCGCTTCCACTGGATGACGGGCACGACAGGTTTGGGGTGGCAGCGGAGCAAAAGAAGTGGGTAAAAATGTTGGTGTTATATACTTAAGCTTTGCTTTAGTGGATATTACACTTGTTATTCTT